TCAGTTACACACAGTTTACTTTCATAACATAAGAATGGCATGCTGGGTCAGTCCAAAGGTCCATCTAGCCCAGTGTCCTCTCTGCTGACAGTGGCCAATTCCAGATGCCCCAGAAGGAGGGATCACAACAGGTAATCCTCACTTGATCCCTCCCATCTCCTACTTCCAGAGAAAGAGAGGCTAGGGACACCATTCCTACCCATCCTGGCTAATAGCCATTGATGGGCCTAACCTCCATGAATCTATCTAGCTCTTATTTGAACCCTGTTAAAGTTTTATCTTTCACCGTATCCTCTGGCAAGGAGTTCCACAGGTTGACTGTGCGCTGTGTGAAGAAAAACTTCCTTTTGTTTGTTTTAAACCAGCTGCCTATTAATTTCATTTGGTGACCCCTAGTTCTTATATTGTGGGAATAAGTAAATGACTTTTCCTTATTTGCTTTTTCCATGCCAGTCATGATTTTATAGACCTCTATCATATCCCCCCTTAGTCTCCTCTTTTCTAAGCTGAAAAGTCCAAGTCTCTTTAATCTCTCTTCATATGGGACCTGTTTCAAACTCCTAATAGTTTTTCTTGCCCTTTTCTGAACCTTTTCCAATGCTATGGCTCTTTCAAACGAGACCTTACAAAATGTGGTGTTCTCTCAGGAAGGACATAAAGATAGAATTTGCCCTGATGTCTTTAGTCAAAAATTTCCATCCCCTGCTTCCCTCTTCTACTCTTGGGCTATGTCTAGACTGGCCAGTTTTTCCGGAAAATCAGCCGCTTTTCCGGGAAAACTTGCCAGCTGTCTACACTGGCCGCTTGAATTTCCGCAAAAGCACTGACGATCTCATGTAAGATTGTCAGTGTTTTTGCGGAAATACTATGCTGCTCCCGTTCGGGCAAAAGTCTTTTTCTGAAAAACTTTTGTGCAAAAGGGCCAGTATAGACAGCAGAGATTTGTTTTCCACAAAAAAGCCCCGATCGCGAAAATGGCGATAGGGACTTTTTTGCGGAAAAGCGCATCTAGATTGGCCACGGACGCTTTTCTGCAAAAAGTGCTTTTGTGGAAAAGCGTCCTGCCAATCTAGACACTATTTTCTGAAAATGCTTTTAATGGAAAACTTTTCCGTTAAAAGCATTTCCGGAAAATCATGCCAGTCTAGACGTAGCCCTGTTGTACAGTGTGCTGTATTCCAGCTAGTTAATACCCTCCTCTCTAGAGGTGGCTGTGTTCTTGGCAATGTGTTTTTGTGTTTTTCATCCTGAAGAATAATCTATACGTGTAAAACAACGATATACAGTTTCATTAAACATAATGCACCAGGGGAGTACTCCAGAAAGTACCTGTGTTGGACAAGGCATGTGAGGTTTTATCTTTTATTGCACCAGCATCTGCTGGGGAAAGAGACAAGGTTTCAAGCTCCACAGAGCTCTTCCTCGGGTTTTAGGCAGCTAAATGAGATGGCGCACTGACCAAGCCTGGCTGTTTGGCCAATGTCAAGTAATTTCCTACAGGGCGCAAGAACCCTGCAGATATTGAAGCACCTGTATCCATTCTCTTTGGGTAAAGCTGCCATGTTAATGCCACCTCTTCATACAGAATGGCAAATGTACCCTGACCTGAGCAGGCACAGGCTGAGCCTGGAGCCACACTGCAAAATTACATGGGTGCAGCAACGTTGCTCAGAGTTGTCAATAATGCCACCCCTGAGCAATGTCATTCTATTCTCCTCTGCAGTGGTGTCGACAGTGCTACGTCAAGTTGCAGTGGGGGAGGTCTAGGTTGGATATTGGGAAAATCGATTTCACAAAGGGGTGTGTGTGTGAAGCACTGGAATGGGTTCCCTAGGGAGGGGGTGGAATCTCCATCCCTAGAGGTTTCTAAGTCCTGGCTTGACAAAACCCCGTCTGGGAGGATTTAGTTGGCATTGGTCCTGCTTTGAGCAGGGAGTTGGACTCCATGACCTGAGGTCTCTTCCAGGCCTAGGATTCTATGAGCACCTGGCTTGGTGTCCAGAATAATTTCAGGTCCCCAAATGGAATCCTCTTCTTCTATCTATCCTAGAAGGACTCAGCCTCTTTCCTGCTAATAGAGGGCTCCTCTGACTCAGTCCAGCTCAAACCATTGGACTGCACTGCCTCCCAGCACTCTCCACCTTCCTCCCCTGTTGTTCTTTATATTAAAATAATGGCATCTTTTGTTTAATAATGAATTCACTTATGTTATTCCAACATTTCCCACACAGTTTCTGCAAGTTGCAGCCTCCCTCTCTGCTCTTATGCTCTGGTCTGGAGCCCTTTCCCCACCCAGCCCCCCACATCCTTCCATAATGAGAATCCTCCCCACCCCCACTTCAAGTTCTGACTTGCTCTTTTTTTTGGAGATAGGCCTTGAATTGCCAAGTTCCGCTCTGTCTCTGAACTAAATGTCCTTCAGCATTCAGGGGGTTTGGATCAAGGATGTTAAATATTGGTTAACTGACTAGTTGATAGACACTTCCGCATTCCTCCTTGGTAATGTACAAGAGCCCCAGCAGGGCTTGTACATTTCACAAGAGGAACGTGAAACACCACATGCAGCCTGGGGCCTGCGGGAAGTCCTGCTGACTCCCGGCTGCATGCGGCATGCCAGCTTTGAAATGTACAGGAGTCCCCAGCAGGAGCTCTTGTGCATTTCAAATCTGCAGCACAGCATGGAGCCCGGGGTCAGCGGGGGACTCCATGCTGCGCTGTGGATTTGAAATGCCACGTGGAGCCAGGGTCAGCTAGGGACTCCCCAGCTGCCCCTGGGCTCCAAAGGGGCAGCGCCACACAGCTGAGCCCAGGCTCAGCTGTGCGGGGCTGCCCCTTTGAACTCCACCTCTGAGTTTCAAAGGGCAGCGCTGCCCCTTAGAA